AGAGAAAGGAGAAAGAGAATGGAAAGGGGGTGGAAAAATGAATTAAAATGCATTATGTACATGTACCACCTCCTCTAAAGGAATGTAAACACTAGGTATTACAAATGTGTACTAATAAACTTTTTAAAAGAAAAAAACAAGAAAGGAAATTCTTCATTGGCAATTTATATACCAAATGACTGGATTCACTGAAATAATGTTGGCATTTCATGTCTGCAATTGTATACTATACTACTTGGAGAAGGAGTCTTGCTAAGTACATTTACTAAAGATAGATGTTATGGCTGGGGATTTAGTTCAGCGGCACAGTGCCTGCCTGGCAAGTGCAAGAATGTGAGTTCAATTCCCGGTCCAGGAAAACAAACAAACAAACAAATAGATTTTGATAAAGTTCATGTATCTGCAGCCATCTGAGGGCTATCAAAACTTTGAGAAATTAGAAAGCTCTGATCCAAGGAAGGAAAAAGCCATGGAAAGTGAAGCCAGACTCTGGAGCCATACATTTTGTAACAGAGATTAGTCTAAGATAGCTTCAGCTACATTAAAGGTACTTAGAAATGCAAGATAAATTTTTAAAAGAAAGATAAAAGTTAAAATAGGCCTGTGCTCAGACTTCCAGGGTGACAGGTGGCCGCAGCCACTGAGCGTGCGAGGGAGCCATTGCTGGTCCAAGCTGCTCTCCTCTAGGATCCTCCGGGTTGTTGGCATGGCCCATGGCAATCAAGGAGAACTTGCTTGCCAGAAGAATATGAAGAAAACCCAGGAGACTAGCAAGGGAAAAAGAAAAGAGAATAGCTTGACTACTTCTCAAAGAAAGCAGAGGTACTCTGAGATAATGCAACAAAAGCAGAAGGCAGCTAATGAGAAGAAGTCTGTGCAGACAGGAGAAAAATGATGCTCGGCTCTTTGGGAAACCTGGGTGCTACTGCCAACTGGTACCTCATGCTGCAAGATCAGGATTCCTTAGAGTAACAAGCATCACTATGTTACAGCTCATCTTCATAAAACTGTTTACTTCAAACTTAAAAAAAAAGTTAAAATAAAAAATAAATAAATCCTTCTTCAGGGAAAGAAACTTAATAGGCAATGTAATGGTTGATACACTGTGTCAACTTGAGAAGTTTAGAAATTTAACTATGTAACTCAGGAGTTCTACATCCTAGGGTGTAGAGGACATGCCTTAGGGAGGGTGTTTAGGCTGTAGGATGTTATAATGATTGATTCATTGTGGCAATTTGAGAAGTTTTGAAGTTTAACTAAATGACTCAGCAGGGGCCCAGGGCCCTCATTTTGTAAACATTCTGAGCCTGAGTGCTACACTTGCCCAAGGATGGGTAGCCTGCTTATAAGGGAGGAAAAGAAGCTTGCCCCACCCCTTTGGCTCTTGTTGCTTTTGTTGTCTTCTGCCACCTTGAACTGTTGCCCCTGTTCCATGCCACCATGCCTTGGAACCAGCTGATTATGGACTAAAACCTCCACAAACTGTGAGATAAATAAAACTTTCCTTCCTTAACTTTGAGCATTGGCTATTTTATCTCAGCAATGAGAGAAAAGTAACTAAAAGAGGCATTGTTATGTCTTGTGTCTAGATGTCCCCTCAAAGCCTCGTGCAAACATAGCTGGGGTTTTTCAGAAGTGGCTGAATCTAGGGCATGCGATGTCAGGTTTAAGTATTTGATTCTGGGATTAAGAGTTTTTGGTTACTAAATTAATCCACTGGTTGATTTGGCATAGTTCTGGGTGTAGATAATGGGAAGATCCACCTTGGGTGTGGGCGACACCACCAAAAAGGCAGGTATCCTGGATGGAATATAAGGGACAGGAAGAGGGCTACTGCCATTTCCTGCTGCTGCTGCTATTTTGCTTTGCTGCCTTCTGCCTGTTTCACCTCTTTGATGCCCCTCTGCTGTGCCACCCTGCCTTAAACCAGCAGCCTATAGATTGAAACCTCTACAAACTGTGAGCCAACATAGACCTTTCCTTGATTAACTTTGAGTTTGTGGTATTTTATCTCAGCAATGAACAAAGTAAGACAGGCACAGTATGCTAAGGCACAGTATGCCTTCTATCCTCTGGGCTGGAGAAACTTAGAAATGCAGAGTAAGTTGTTCCAGTTAAGTACTTTATAAATTATATCTAGATGTCTTCCCAAAGCCCCATGCACTCATAGGTGAGGCTACTGGGAGGTGATTGGATTATGGGGGTGTGATACTCATCAGTACCCACTGATGATAAATTAGTCCACTGATTAGTATCCATAGATGATAAATTAGTCCAGTAAATTAGTCCACTGATAGATTTATAGCTGAATGCAATGTAGGGAGGTGAAGCCTCATTGGAGGAGGTGGGTCACAGGGGGTGTGGCCTAAAAAAGTTTAGCTCCTTCCCCCCTTTCTTTCTATTTTTTTTACAACTGACTGTAAATTAATTGAAACAGTTTCTTTAGGCACCTGATATGGTGACTTTAACCTTCACTCCTGGCTCCATACTGATGGAAGTAACCTGTTTAACAATCTCAGAAGGATTGTGCAAATCAATTGGTAGCTTGTGGGTTCTCATCCGGAAAAGATCCTATGTCTCAGAAACTTCACTTCAAGACATTTTTCTTAGGGTTATTAAGGTCTTAGTAGGCATGAAAATGGGTCCTTTCACTTTTTGATCTTTTTTTTTGTACCCCGATCAAGTCAGCACACACCTTTTACAGGGGTTTCACATTGTGGCCGGTGAGGTAATCCTAATTTGGTGAATCACCACCTCTGGCTCCATAGGCATCTTTCTGATACCTTTAAAAGCCATGGAGGTGGCATGGCTTCCTGACGACACCAAGAGTGAACAGCAGAAGCCCACTGCACCCACAACCTCTTCCTTGCTTCCTGCCACCATGCCATGAGCTGTTTCTCCTCTGCCACATCATCTGGCCTTGGAACCAGCTGCCTGGGAACTGAAATCTTTAGAAATCAAGCCAAAATAAACCTTTCTTCCTCAGAGTTGTTAGTGCCACATGTTGTGTCTCAGCAATGAGAAAAGTAACTTTGGACAGTAACTGATTTTTTAAACTCTACAAAGCCTCCCTTGCTCTGCTTACCTATGTAAGACCAAAACAAAGAAAGCACATCAGACTTCCATTGAGAATCCCCTCTTGGTGCATATCCATTAAGAGCTATTTTCTTCTTATTTCCAACAAACACTCCTGATTTCCTCCTTTGGTCTGTGATTTTCATTATTCAATGCAATGGGACAAAGAACTCAGATTTTCATAAAATTAACTACTTCACCTCTGCGTACAGGCATCTGTGAATCCCAAATTCAGGCTGAGAATTGGGAGGGTGAGTGGGAAAGTTCACAAAACCTAAGGGCCCAAAAGACAAAACTTGGACTTTGAGGCCTCCATAGAAAGAGAAGCTCTGATAAACACCAAGAGCTGTAGGTGGCAACCCTAAAATTTTACATTAAATCCTTGTAAGAGTAAAGTGAATCAAACACAGAAGAAAATAAAGCAGCCCTCATAAAAGATTAAAATCCAACTTTCAATAACTACAATTCAGGAATTGCTGGTCCCCAACCCTAAATGTGAAACAGAGAAGAGGCAAGTACATCAAAGTGAATAATTTGCTGGGTTTACTGTGTTTACACTTTGTTTAGAATGTTAAATTAATGCATAACATAAATTTAAATATGTAACAAACATAGCACATGGTCAACAGCAGGACAAAGTGGCATTAAAGTGTTCTAACGTCACTGAACAGCAGAAAGTATTAAAATATTACTTTACATTGAAATTTAATATTTGGGATGACATGAAAGTTTTTACAATGACCAATAAATGAATATTAAAATATCATCAAGTCAGCAATCTAACAAATGAGGAAATGATTCAGCTAAAAATATTTGATCTAAAAATAGGCAAAAAACAAAACCAGAAGGGAGAAAAGGACAGGAAAGGAGTGAAGTAATAGCAAGGTTGTAGATTTAAGAATAAACACATCATTAATTATATTAAAGAAAATTTGCTAAATAAATAAATACAAAATTTATTAAATAGAAAGCCATATATCTATATTGTAAGCTATCACATGGGAAAAGATATACTGTGAATACACTAACCTCAAAGAACTTGGGATGGCTTCACTAATTTCCAGCAGTCAGTTTATAGGCAAGGAACATTATCATAGATAAAGGAAGGGATGTAACACAAGGAAGATATGACATTTCTAAACGTTTATGCACATAATAGGATATATCTAACTCAGAAAGTAAAAGATGATGCAAAAACAGTGGTAGTTTTCAATGTTCAGTTTTAATGGAGAAGTTTTTAATAAACCTCTGTGAATATAAAAAATCACTAAATAAAAGATTTTAAAAACAGAACTTATAAACATGGCCTAATGATATATCTAAAATTCAACATTTTACAAGGAGAAAAATAAAATCTACAATGTTTTTAAGTGAACATGAAACATTCATTTTAAAAGTAGTATGTTCACCCATAAAGCTGTATAAACTTCAGAAGCCTGAACACAACAAAATGTTTCCTCTGAAAAAAATGAAATCAAAGTAAAAATCAGTGATAAAAAGATAACCAGACACTTTTTCATGTATGGAAATTCTAAAATACAAATTCTAGATACCTATTATGTTAAAAAATGGACACTGGAAAATACATTAAACAAAGGCAGTGCAGCAGACCAAGCTTTTGAATATGCACTAAAACCATGCTTAAAGTACATTCTTAGCCATAAAACCACATACAAAAAAAATAATGGCTGAAAGTAAGTTACTTAAGAATCTACATTAACAAATTAGAAATTTAAGCCAGGCATGGTCTCACTCACCTGTAATCTCAGCGCTACGGAGGCTGAGGCAAGAAGACAGCCTTGAGTTTGAGGTCAGCCTGGGTTATATAGAAAATTCAAGGCCAGCCTGAAATAGCAAGACCTTCTTTCAAAAAAAGAAGGTAGAAGAGGAGGAGGAGGAGGAGGAGGAGGAGGAGGAGAAAGGAGAAAGAAGAGAAGGAAGAGAAGGAAATATAAAAGTAAATGATACCCACAGAACAGAGTAGAAAAAAAATATGATATTGACCCAACATGGCCAAAAGTTAGTTTCCTGAAAACTTTAGGAATTGATAAACATGTGTCAAGATGAAAGAACGAATAAGAGTGGGCTGGTAGTGTCGCTCAGTGGAAGAGTCCATGCCTTGCCTCACATGAACAAGAGCCGAGGGAAAAAAGAAAGAAAAAAGAGTAACAAATAAGGGATGGAGAACAAATTTTCAATACTAGATTTTAAAATTACAGACTAAAAATCATACAGACATTAATGTGCTAACAAAAAGATATGTACAAGCTACTAGCAATAAACTGAGTAATTTGGATAACTTGCCCAAAGCTTGAAAACTACAATTAATCATACTGGCAGAAAGCGCAAATCCAAACGAACTATCTGGATAGAGGTACACTTATTTTTTAAATAGTCTCTAAAATTTAAAACTTTATTTAAGAACTTCTGCCAAATCTTTAAAGCAACAGCAGAAGTATAAATTTCTCCCTACTCCAGTGAACAAAATAGAGGAAACACCTTTCAATACATTTTATTAGGCGAAAAATTCCTTAATACCAATACCTGACTGGGATACCTAAGGAATGTTGCACAACTTAAATGCACATAAATGCGTAGCCCTGGATAAAACATTCACAGAGTCCACATGCATACATTCTGAGCAAGACAAGTACGTTACAGTAACATGAATTTGTTTTCCTATTTGAAAATAAGTAAATGTGACACACCAAATTAGCAGAATAAATGACATAAAAACTCCTTGTCATCTTAAGAAGTGCAGGGCAGCCATTAATAAAGTATGACATCTGGGTGGAACCTACTATTGATACCATTTAAAAATAAATTCTTCATTTTTTGCTGGTATACATATTGTGATTTATCTTATACTGTATGGGAACACTGAGTTGATTAAAAGTAATGGTTATTTGATGAGCTACAGCAAGATTGTTGGGTTAACAGCCAAGTTTCTGGGCTTCTCAATACTAATTCCAACTGTTAGACATGACATGACAAGGATTCACAGGATGTCCTCGTATGACCTGTAAGAACATAAGCAAAACAACTTTAAGTAAGGTAGGGGCACTGCCATAGCACTGCTCACAATTCACAATGCAGCTCAAGTGTCCACAATGGATGAATGGATACACAAAAGATGCTGTATGTGCAGGCAATGGAATATTATTTGGCCTAAAGAAGGAAAGAAATTTTGATGTAGGCAAAAACATGGATGAACTTTGAAGATATATTACTAAGTGAAGTAGTCCAGTCAAAAGCAGGACAATATCAATGATTCCACTTATATAAGGTACCAGTAGTGAGAGTTACAAGGGCAAAAAGTGGAATACTCACTACTATGGCCTGGTAGAGCCTGCAATGGTGAGTTATTCAATACGAAGACAGTTTCAATTTTGAAAGATGAAAGGGGTTCTGGCCATGAATAATTATAATAGCTGCAAACTACATGAAAGTATTTAACAGAACACACATGGTAAAGATGATAACATTTAGGTTATGTGCAGGGCACCACTTTTTCTAAATTAGCTCTACATGTTGGAACTAAGAACTAGTGAAAAGATGTAGGGTAATTTGCTGTAAAAAGTTGAAAAAGACAGAAGATAGGAGGGTAGATAGAAAAGAAATCCAAAAAATAAAAACTCACAAGCGTCTAAAAAACCATAATGCAAAACATAGGGAAAAGATCAAACAGGAAACTATTATTGCCAGAATGATCCAGCCACTGGAAATGGAGCGTCCTGCCAATTAGAAGAGAGGACAGAAGAGGTTACTTTGAATCCCACACACCCGCCCACAGACATTGCTTTGCCCAAGCTAAATAGTAAATCTTCTCCAACCTCTCCTTCCCCTTCCTTTCCTCTCTCTTTTCTTGCTTTCTTTCCCCAATTCCTTCAACAGTCATCTCCTTATGCTTAGGGACCACCTTCTCCCATTCATTCGGAGCCCCAGTCCTTTCTCACCCCAGTGGAGGACGATGTCCTGCCCTCCCAGACTGCTGTGCTTCACTCGGCAAGACAGCCCAGCAGCCTCCTCAGCTGCCACATCCAGGGTCACTTGGAGATACCATGTCTCATCAGCATTGGGCAGGACATCCCCTCTCTGAGTTTCAGGCTGCTCCTGCTCACCCCGCATCCACATCACCCACACGGGCTTTGGATGGAAGCCAGAGACATGGCACACCAGCTGCAGACGGCCAGACCCATGGCCGGGGTTACTGGACAGCCAGGCCTCAGGTTTCACTGGGGCAAGAAAGAAGCAGGGAAAGTATCAGATTATGATTCTGCATGTTAACCCAGAAACCCACAAGTTTGGATATTAAGCCTTTCATTCTTTGAAATGAAATAAATAATTGAGGAACCCACTCTGCTTGCACACCTTCCTACTCGTGCTTGGACGTGATAGAAAATGTAACAGAACAGGATTAACCTTGCCTCTGCAGATCCGCCTTCCCTGCTTCAAGGACACCCAGGAGATATCGAGGGCAGGTCTCATACAGCAGCTTCTCCACAATGTAGAAGATATCCTGATATCGAGAAAGTAGTGTGCAGACTTTTTGTGCCCTGCTGCCGCCTTCTGGGGCCGGGACACAAGAAGAATTCTTGAAGCTCACGAAATCCAGTCCTCCCAGTGCTCCTCTCAAGAAGCTCACCATGACACCCCCAGAATGCAGCTCACAGCCTCCAATGCCCTGGACCTCAAAGGGGTCTGTGTACAAGGAAAACAGAGAAAAGAACAAGATGTGGAAAGGAGCCAGAATTTTGATTTGGGTAAAGATAATATCAAGAATGTGTGATTCATAAGGCTAAATAATTACAGGACTTAGAATTTCAGAAAGAAAAGTATGGCGAGGGACATGTGATAGAGGAGCTATAGAAAAGGGGACAATGGTAAGACGACAGAGGAGAGTGTGAGGGAGTCACAGGTACAGCATTGCAAAGGGAAATGGAGGGTCACAGGGAGAGGAGAGTCCAGGAGGAGTAGGTAGAAGGGATGGATGAGAGGAGGAAGCCATACAGGGTAGGAAAATAAGGAGTGAATTTACAGCAAACAGGTCTCAAAGCCGAATTCTTCACCAATCATGGATGAGTGCAGAGGCAGCCTGAGAGGATGCTGCTCTAGACAACGATGTGCAAGCAGTTGGATAAAGACGGGAGGAGGTAAGAAGGAGAAAGAGCAGTACCCTGAATCAAGAGGGAAAACAGATCACTGAGAAAATCCCCAAGTATAAGGTCTGGACTCACATTCCAACTGCAAGGTATTCACATGGGCTGTCATTTCTCGAATGAATGCAAAGACATAGACCCGAAATAGCTCCACCACTTCAGATACTTCTTCATTGCTGAAGTTGCCCTTTGACCAGGGCTTCAGGAATATGGCAGTGCCTGAGTCACCGTCCCAGCCGTGAATCTGTAAGTCTCCCAACCAGCCTGAGCCTTGATATTTCACCCAGGTGTTGTTGACAAAAGATGAAATTTGAATGACATAGAAAGAAATTGGCCCTTGGAAGGCTGTGGAGAAAAGAAGGATAAAATAGTGAGTAGGAGGAGAGAAGCAAAAGGGAAAGAGAAGGCATGATATTGAAAAAATACAAGAAGAAAATAACCAGAGTCTGTAGAAGGATTAAGGGCCTTAATCATTTAAGAGCCTCGTGGCCTCAGGTTCCAGCTCCAGCCTCCAGAATAGTGGAAGAGACCTAGAGATAGGATGGCTAAAGTGTTAGTCCTAAGTGCACCTGGGTAAATGTAGCCTGTCTTTTCTGGACACCCTGCACCAGTGCAAAGAGCAGTCAGAGTTCCCCTTACCGTCCTGAGTGTCACCAGCTGGGAAGAAAACTGCAAGCAATGCCGGTGCCAGGAGCAGCATTTCACTGAGAGAGAGGACTTCTAATTTCTCAGCTTGCTTTTGATCTCTGAGTTCAGCAACCCTCTTCTCAGTATTCTCTAGTGACTTCCTCTCTTGCAACTGACAAATCTCTTCCTCATACAAATTCTGTACCAGAGAAGAAATGTGCACCCTCACCCCCGGGACTCTTACTTCACCTCTTGTTTGCCCTCTGGCTCAGACCTTCACATTTCCTCCTAACCTCCCTGACTTCCTTCAAATGACCTCAGAAAAGCCGTGATGTGATTCTGACAGCTCACTTCACACACAGCCCTGAGCCTTTATTTATATCATTAATATAGTCCACAGTTGCTCAGCTTCCCATCTGCAAGAATTCTTTTTGTTTATTCACCCAATTCAGCCTCCACTGCCTTCTCAGGCACTCTCACCACCCATTCCCAATATCCGCCCTCCACTTTCTTATGTTTCTCTTATCTAGTGTCCGTAACCTCACAGTTAATAATGGCTCTGTGTGTGTGTGTGTGTGTGTGTGTGTGTGTGTGTGTGTTCATATTCATTTACACAAAAGCAAAACATTTAAACCAGCTGTGTACTATAGAATCACAGTACTCAGAAACACAGACTCAGAATCAAATGTCATAAATGCTGCAATTTATAATAAAAACAAAAATTGTCTCATACTATATCAATTTTTGAAGGAAAATTGGCATTTGCTACTGATACAGGACTTTATGATGCCTCCTGACTTTTGGAGCTTTGAGTAGCAAATGCTCATGAGAACTGTGCCCTGTGTCATACTGACAGGTGATACATAAGGGCCTGTAACCAGTAGAGCTTTCCTGTAAGTAGCAGACCATTCCTCTTCTTTTGTAATAACTCGTGACCTCTGTGTACACTTAGGCCTTTCCTAGACCCACATAATCATGACTGGGGAAAAGAAGTCAGTTGTGTTTTCACCAAGTTGTTACGTGTTTGCTCTAAGATGTCATTCCCCCTTTTCTTGTATGCCATTGGATATATATGTTTAGAATATACTGAGTGAAAATTTTGGACTCTAACCAAAATCTTAACTTAAGAATAACTTTTGGATTTTCACCAGTAGACAAAAGTTCAAGTTTGCACATAACATCTTTCAAAGACATGATGGTAACTGATTCCAAGTGTAAGATGTTAGTTATCACTGACCGAGTCTACTGTAGCACACAAAGACTGGGCATTCTCTGTTCCCAGAAATAGGTGGTTCAGTAAGACTAGTATTACTTACTATACTAGGTAGTGAGACTAGCATTCATCTAAGATCATCACTGTCTGACCAGAAAGTCAGAACAGAGACCCAAATATCTAAACACAGAGCCCTTAAACATAGCTTCAGGCTGCAATACATCACAAAAGCTCTCTACTGTTTGAGTATGAGCCTCAGAATACAGCAGAGGTTTAACATTAGCTGTCGTTCACATGACATTATATTTCTGGAATAGACCTTTCTTCTTGGATAAAATACCCGTGGTTCAATTTATTCCATGTTGCACATAGGTTCCCTTGCATAAACAAAATTTGAAAACACAGGGGCAATACTGAAGTGTGTAAGCTTACCAAGAGACTCAGTTTCCTACACATAAGTAAAAGTGAATTGGCAGCAACAACAGGGAGGTTGTGTAGTCACCTCATGCAAACATCAGACACATCCACATGATGCCTATGCATCTGTGCACGCTCACAGGGAGACAGGCTTTCCAGCCAAGAAGCACCAGAGGGAAGGACATGCTGAGATTCTGCACCGTTTCAGGCTTCTCCACAAAGCCAATGTTTGCGCATCTGAACCACACTTCCCAACTCATACCAGCAGTGTGCAGGGATCGTCCCTTGCTTGCCTTTAAACCTAGCTCAGGGCAACAGTACATGCAGTAGGACATGAAGATGACACCAACAAAGGAGCCCTGGGCACCTAATTTCTACACAGCCCCCTGCCCATCTCTCACCATGAGTGACTTGCTCTGGGAAAACAAAAGCCTGAATAGGAACAGAGATTTCACAATTCAAATTCTTGATTATCCTCATGAAGGAGCCCAGGACGTGGGGTCACCCCAGCACTGAAGAAAGTCATGTGAAGATAGGAACAGAAAGATGAACATTTAGCTCTGTTTGTTCAGAATCCCCAATAGCAGACACAGCACACCCTAAAATCTTGTCCCACAAGCAGAAAAGGAAAATGTGTTGGATAAAAAATAAAATTTATGCAGAGCTGAGGCAAGTTAGGGACTTAAAAGAAAAAAGCACAAGGTAGATAGGTACAAAAGAGAACTGGTATCTCATAGCACCTGGGGACAGCGCTGAGGTTCCCTATGTACTCTGAGGAGTGGTTACAATATAAAAGGAAGTTAAACTACACAGAGGAAACAGAGGCAAATAGTTTTTGCTGTTGGTTTTTTTATATTGTGACAGAATGCAAGTAATTACAGTCAACAAGTATTTTTCATACCATTTAATATGTTCAATAATTTATGACAATTATATTCTGGTTTATTCATTTATACACGCATTAGCTCATTCATGTACTCAGCTGGTATCTTTTATTTACTGAGTACTTACCGTATGACTTCTACCACCTCTGCATCACCTCTCTCACATTACATATCATCTCAGACTTTTAAGTGAATTCAGACTCCTTTATTAGCAACCTCAGGAGGGTTGATGTAATTTTTCAACTCACTGGCTTCACTGTTTCATGGTTTTTTTGAAGTAAAATTGATACACAAAGAAATGTACGTTTTTAAGTGTATACTTTGATGCATTTAGATGTAAGCTTCTGAGGCTGGGGACTCAGCTCAGTGGCACAGCACCTGCCTGGCACGGGCAAAGTCGTGAGTTCGATTCCCAGTACCAGAGAAAACAAAACAAAACAAAAAAAATAGATGTAAGTTTCCACAAAAAAGACCTTAGTGCTAATTAAATTCAGCAAAATTGCAGAATACATTAACATACAATAATCAATTGCCTTTCTATATAATAATAAATAATATGAAAAGAAAATTAAGAAAACAAACCTGTTTACAACAGTATGGAAAGAATAGAATAATTAGGAATAAATCTGTCAAGACTATACAAGATTGGTACACTGAAAACTTAATACATTGATGAGGGAAATAAAAAGACACAAATAAGTGAAAAACTATCCCATTTCATTGATTGGGAAATATAATATTGCTCAGATACTCATATTACACTACAATCTACACATTACAGTGTGCACTAATTTGTTTTTTCTGTTGTTGTTGTTGTTGTTGGTTTTGGTTCTTTTCCTGTACCAGGAATAGAACTCATGATCTTGCACTTGCCAGGCAGGTACTGTGCCGCTGAGCTAAATCCCCAGCCCCTCAGTGGGTATTAATTTGATGTTATCATTATCAAAATCCCAAGAGCACTTTTAAAATAAGTAGAAAAATCCTAAAATTCATATGAAATCGCAAAAGATCCCAAATAACCAAAAGTAATGCTGAGAAAAGAGAATAAAGCTGAAAATATCACACCTCCTGATTTCAAAATATATTATGAAGATTCCTAATTAAAAGTAGTGGATATATCAAGTAGCCCAGTTTAATGACTGCCCAATGCAAATATGTATCATAACACCAGACTGTGTAATACAAATACATACAATGATTTTATTGTACATTTTTTAAATATTTTAAATACCATAGAACCAGCATAAGCAAAAATATATGTACTCATGAAACAGAAGAGAGAGCTGAGAAATACTTCCACAAAGAAAATGACCCCATTTACTTAGATTTGCCCAACATCTATAGATTTGTAAGGGTTGAAAAAAATGTCACGGGTTATTCAGTGAAGGATCTGTTTTTGGTGAGAATTTACCTTCCTGTCCAGTGACCAGACACTAATTTTAACATCTGATACATACTCATTAGCAAATCCAATACAATTTTGACCTCTAAGGCATTTAAATCCAGACTGTACATTGCTGTTATTGTTTGAACACAGTGTCACTCCTCGAAGTTTACATTTCTTATAGCTGAAGCCCACCTTTTAAAGAGCATAGGCCTGGGGACGTCACTCTGCGGTAGAGCTCTTCTCCAGCACATGCAGGGCCCTAGGCTTACTCCACAGGACAACAAAGCAAAACAAAAGAGTACGTAGAGTAAGATCCCAACAGCTGAATAGTATGTGTGTCTGAATAACATATTACTTGGATTTCAATTCTGGTAACACATTCTATTTTACTCACAGCATTTACAGTTGCTGACGAGGAAAGTTCTCTCAATTTGTTTATTGCTACTTTGTAAGCAATTTTGTTCTTTGTTTTTCTCTAGTTGCTTTCAAAGTACTATCTAAAACTAAATTTATTATAGATATTTACATGTACAACACGATGTGTGTGGTATGATGTAACAGTAGAATGCCACAGTGCAGTGGATTAACATCCATCATTTCACAGTTATTCACCTATGAACTGCTAACATCTATTCTTAATTATGAATCCTAGATGCAGTACAATTTTATCACCTTTTACCTTCAGTATCTTTTTTGTTTTGTTTTGTTTTTTTGTTTTTTTGTTTTTTCTCCGGTACCGGGAACCGAACTCACGACCTTGCGCTTGCCAGGCAGGCACTTTTGCCGCTGAGCTAAATCCCCAGCCCCTACCTTCAGTATCTTAACTTAATTTTTTAGAAGAAAAAAGATAAGATTAAGTATTTCTTAGTTTTTCCTTTGGAAACATTTACGCATAATTCTTTCTGCGAGTCTACTTCTCTACAAAATTGAGATGTGCAGGTATCAGTTCCCTGATATGAAAAGTAACACACTAGCAATTTTATAAATGCTACTTTCTGATTTTTATCAGCTTGAGAAAATAATTGAAATTACTATTGATTTGCAGGTAGTAAACTTCATATTTGATTTTCTCTGCATTTTGTTTAATGTAATTTGTAATAAATTACATCTTGTATGCTTCACAAAACATGTCACTTTAAAATGGGTTTCACTTCCATGATTATGTTGCAATATTTTGTAACTTTAAAGAAGTGAAGACTGTCAGCATTTGGTTTTTACAATGTTTGTAACCAGATTTTTATTATTGATGAAAAATCAATTTTTTAAAGAACATTTAGAATTTGGGAATTTTGTAAGAACTATTGGAGG